GCCAAAATCCACCAAGAAGGCGAATGTATCACTTAAGTAATCAGCATACAATCCCCAAACATATCAAACTCGTAATCCCCCTTCTCCTGAATTTCCTTATAGCTCCTCATAACAAACTCTGTTCCCGCGAACGCAGCCGTAAGTACAATATGACTAGACCGCGGGCGATGCAAATTGGTAAGCAGCACATCCACAGCATTGAACTCGAATCCCGGATAGATATAGAGATCCGTCCATCCATGCTGGGGCTTGATGGTACCCTTGCGGCCGGTCTCTCGGGTAATGGTCTCCAGCGTACGCATAACGGTCGTGCCAACAGCAATAACGCGACGGCCCTCGCCCCGTGCCCGATTCAGCTGTGCTGAGGTCCTTTCACTGACCTCGTAGTACTCCGATCGCACCTTGTGCTTTTCGATCTCCTCAACACTAATATGGCGAACAGAGAGGATCTCAGTCGCCCCCACATGCAGAGTGATATAGGCGATTTCCACACCCTTGGCGGAGATCTCGGCGAGGAGCTCGTGAGAGAAGTGTAGTCCGGCGGAGGGTATCTCCAAAGAGCCGGGCTTCTTAGCGTACACAGAGCGGTAAGCATCGGGCTTTTCCTTCCAGTATGTGGGGTTTAAATGGATATTTTCGTCGAGCCGTGCTCCGTATTGGTCGAGAGTTGGGAGGAGGAGGTCAGCGGGACTGAACTGGACCTTCCACAGCTTATCGGGCTGCTGGTCAAGCAGAGTGCATTTGAGCTTCTCTTCGTCCAGGGAGATGAGAGTTTGCCCTCGATTGAAGGTGACTTCGGGCTTCTTAAGCTCGACGATGGTGGTACCGTCTGGCTCGTGGCCGTAGACGGTTAGTTGGAGGGTTTCGTTTTTGCCGTACTCGAACCACAGGGTGTTTGACAGCATGTAGCTGTCGTTCAGCACGAGGAGGTCTCCGGGGCGGAAGTAGTCTCCAATGCTGGAGAATATGGCATGATCGATCTTGGAGCTTTCACGATCCAAGACAATCATCTTTCCACTATCGCGGGTTTTACCTCGCAGCTCGACGGGGTCATGGGGCATGACCTTGTAGTCAAGGTCGAATTCAAATTCGGTAGTCTTCATAGTGAGTAAAAAGGTATAGTATGTAAGTGAAATAGATATATCTGAAGCAATCCCGATGAATGTGGTTCGAATATCTGTTGAGCTGAAGAAGTAGCAGCACGGCTAGGAAGACGTTTGGACCCTTTTATCTTCTATTCAAGTCCCATCGTAAAAATGTCTAGAGCAGCTAGGTGTGCGACATTACTCGCACATCGAATCCAGAGGTCATGTAACTGTCAGATTCTCGTAAGAGATGGATAGATAATAACTCGCTATGCAACATTACTCGCACATCGTACATCTCACAGTGGAACACGTGCGGGAAAATACTCTATGCATCTCTTGGTCTCCTTTTGCGTTCAATAGTTCTAAAGACAGCTAGCGATGCAACATCGCCAACGAAGCTGTAGCCACATTGGCCCCGTTTAGTCAACATCAGAGATTTCTCGCAGAAGGGACAGTGTGAGGACTTTTGAGCCAGATCCATCAGTTATTGCCTCATGCATTAGGAACTGCAGGAGCGGTAAATGTTTAGTATGACTCTATCATCTAAGTGGAGCATGGCATCAGTCTGAGTAAAACCGCCGTAGCATCTCCCTCAACATCACTCATGCCCGGGCGGCACACTGTAGTCCGAAACCATGACGTGGTGGATGATGGTGGAATTGCACCCGAAATGCAGTTGAAGAAAATGGTTCTTTGATGCAGGTTGGCCTTACCCTAAACAATCATTCCTCATATCATCCGTGCAGTTTGCAGTGTGTCCTCAGGTAAGTGCTTGGTGCTCAAGTTGGAGGATTTGTTGATCTATCTCAACATGTCATACACCCGTATACACAAAATCCGTGGTTGAAAACGGGAACTAACCGCGTGCGGGTATCATGCATATTGCACAGGCGAATAATAAATGTCCGCGGAGAATTTCCAGAATGCGAACCATGAATCATTCCGGCAGTGTCATTGGGATCTCAGACATTTCTCCTTGCTCCCCACAGCTAGTCTGTTCATGTCAGTGCCTCCGGTGGCTCAATGATACCAAAGGGGGAATCTGGAATAGTATGCCGAAGCTGAATGTCACTGTACCGAACCAGAATACGGCTCTATAATTTCTATGGGCAGCCATGGCCATGGCAAGCACAGTAATGAGGCGCACATCCCAGTATGCTACTGTAACATCCATAGAAAAAAGCTGAACATTGAGATAAGAGAGGCGACTCCTATCCACATACAACATGTTACATCTCCATCTCAGACATTGGGTTACTTTCGTCTCAAGCAGGGTTTCATTATAGCTATAGGAAGGGTCAGGGTGAGGGAAAATATTCAAGCGATACCCGAAAAGGTTACTCATTCATAGCTTCCGGCAACGCACACCAGCTACGTAGAGGATCGTTTATTCTCAATTCCACTAGTATTGAATGATTAGATAGGATTTACATGAAATCTCGATATCATGTCCTCAGTCAAAACAGCTAAAAGCAATCCATTGATAATCCCTCTTGGTCATCTCAACGGCCAAACCACCACAGGCAAATACAATATCGATTCTAGTGACGATGGAAACCCTTTGGCAACCGAGCAGCATGTTTTAAAACACTCTCACTCTTTTAATGACCACCAATATGCCGATTCCAGCCCTCCGTTGATCTCGGAACGTCCTATCGACCAGCCCCGGCCACTGAAACTCATCTACATCGGTGCAGGCATTTCAGGAATTGTCGCTGCCATTCAGTTTCTGAAGTCTGTGCCTCACTTGGAATTGACTATTTACGAGAAGAATTCCGAACTAGGAGGGACATGGTTCGAAAATAGATATCCAGGCTGCGCGTGTGGTGAGCCTCGCAGGACCCAATCCTATAAAGTACCAACCATCACTGACTGATTGTGCAAATAGATGTGCCATCTCACACCTATCAGCTTAGCTTTGAGTCCTGGACTGAATGGAGCCACTTTTTCTCTGGATCAGAGGAGATTCTTGAATACTGGAAACGTGTGGCCCAGAAATACAATGTTCGGAAACGTATACATTTCAATCGGCGATGTATCGAAGCACGATGGAACGATACCACAAAATTATGGACTGTTCAAATCCAAGATGTACTTACTGGAGATACTTTTGAGGACTCGGCCGACGTGCTGATGACTGGAACGGGCCTTCTTAACGAGTGGAAGTGGCCTTCAATACCTGGTCTACAATCTTTTAAGGGACATCTGCTCCACAGCGCTAGCTGGGACGAAGGCTTCAACCCTGAGGTGAGTCACCCTTCATTAATACACCCAGCATACTGATTCTGACTGATCATCAGGGAAAAACCGTAGCCGTAATCGGCTCGGGAAGCACCGCAGTCCAGATCGTCCCCGCAATCATCGACGAAGTCAAGTCTATGGACCACTACATTCGCGGAGGGACATGGATATCCAACCAACACGGTAGCCCTCACCTTGCTGCACGAACAAAGAAACGCGCTATGAATTTTCGCTACACGGAAAAAGAGAAGCGGGAGTGGCAGGATGACCCATCATCATACCTTAAGTATCGCAAGGAACTAGAGCTAGAGATCCAGAGCCAATTCGCCATTTCCCACCGGGATAGCGATATCCAGAAGACTGCGACAGCACAACTCCGAGCGGGCATGCGGGAGAGACTGAAAGCAAAACCCGAGCTACTGGATCTCCTGCTTCCTGATTTTCCTCCGCTCTGTAACCGGTTGACACCTGCTCCTGGATATCTGGAGGCTTTAGTATCGCCGAAAGTCAATGTAATTGGCACACCAATTGCTCGTGTCGATGAATCCGGTATCATCACCTCAGATGGAAAACATCGCCCCGTGGACGCGGTCATCTGCGCAACTGGCTTCGAGAAGAACCTAGGGGCCAATTTCCCAATTATAGGTCGTGATGGTAGCAGCCTTCGTGACAAGTATGCCAATCGGCCAGAGACATATTTAGGCCTTTGCACCGATGGATTCCCCAATTTCTTCCAGTCCCTGGGACCCAATTCATTTCAAGGCGCAGGAAATCTCCTCATCATGATAGAGCAGACACATGCATATGTCGCGCAGATATTATCGCGAATGGCCTATGGCAATGTTGGGACCGTAGAACCAAAGCGGAAACAGGTCCTAAATTTCACCAACTACGCAGAGAAGTATTTTGAGCGAACGGTCTACAGCTCTGAATGCAACAGTTGGTACAAATCACCTCCTGCCGGCCCAACAACTCTGCAGCAGCGTAAGAGGGGTCGTGTTACTGCTCTTTGGCCCGGAAGTAGCCTCCATGCTATTAGAGCACTTAGACTTGTGAGGTGGGAAGACTTTGAGACTACAGCATATGACGGTAATGAATTTGGGTGGTTCGGAAATGGTTGGGCTGAGGTGGAGAGTTCATCGGGAAGAGGAAATCCGGATGCAATGGCCTGGTACATGAACCGGACGTCGTTTCTTGATGGTGGTGGTTAGTTGTTTATTAGAAACAATTTAATAGTTGGTACTTATTTTCACCTTTTCAGTGAGTTCAGGATCTGTGATGCAAGCCAATCTTGCTATCAGTTTTCTCTTCCCCGAGAATGCCCGAAGTGTCCTCCTAAGACTTCATCCCAAAGCCCCTATTACGTCCCCAATAGCCAACACTATAGACCATGATAGGAACATATGTCGCACCCGCATACAGCATGTCAATTGATGCATACATAACCATTTAACAGTTGCAATACTTCTCTCCAAGTTCAGCTGTTGGTGTTCAGCTGTTGGTGTCAAGTAGAGCTAATCCTAAACTAGGTAGGATTTGCAGTCTCTTTAGCGTATTGTTTAGTGCCAATAACAATGGCCAGTCTTCGCCTTCTGTGGCTATGCACGGATGCCTAAGGACGACAACATCTTCGCGAACCCAGCCTCGCGAAAATAAAATGGGCACCTTCAGCTCAGCAAAAGTTAGAGCCCTTCGATTCTTTTTATGTCATTACCAAGATGCCCAAACATCTAGAGAACTTTCCTTTACATCCAGAACGAAACGAAATCCGTCTCCTCACTATCTTACCCAGCACAAAGGCTGAAACTATAATCAGGTGCTCTCTCGAGTCTGTATCATTGGATGATAGCCCTGAGTTTGAGGCCATTTCATATGTCTGGGGAGACGCCTCAAAGAAGACAGATATCATTATCAATGATACCCTCTTTTACGTGACACGGAGTGTAGATAAGACACTCCGCCTCCTTCGCCGTAAGGACCGGCAACGAGTGGTATGGATCGACTTTGTCTGCATCAATCAGCATGATGTCCCTGAAAAGAACACACAAGTCCCATTACTTGGGCGTGTTTATGAGAGCGCGTCTGCGGTTATTGCTATGATGGTGAATAGTAACATGGATCTACGTGCTGCGATTTCTTGGACAAAGGCACAAGAACCAGGCCTGGTCACTCGGGAAACACTTGCATGGCGCGTTCTGGACACACTGAGCAAATACTACCAGAAAGCTCGAGTTCAAAGGGCGAGGCGACTGGTCAAGGTGTATGATCAGTTCCGGCTCGTCAGGGATGACCCTTACTGGGCACGCATGTGGACATACCAGGAATACCAGCTGGCCAAAAGCGATCCAGTTTGCATGAGTGGATCACTCACATTTAATGCTAGCTTAATGCTCGATTCCGCCAGTGATATTCTAGTGCATGCATACTGGAGCGATCAAGTATTTCAGCGAGCATTTAGACGAAGGTATGGTGAGGCAGAATACAGAAAGCTTGGTGATCTTAATGGGCCAACCGAACGACTCAAAAGCGGAAATGCCCTGTATCACTTTCGCAAGACGTGGCATCGACAGTGCAAGGATTCTCGAGATAAAGTGTACGCACTTTACAGTCTGCTCCCTTCTGTACAAAGCAAATACCCGCCGGACTATAATAAACCAGTTGAGCAGGTCATGCACGAAACAACAGCATATATCGTGACACAGGAGGGCCCCGAAGCTCTGAGCTCCTTCAAACTCTGGCAAGAGAATTGTTCACCTGGCTCCTCATCTTCTTATCCGTCCTGGATTCTCGACTTCGGTTGTGCCGCTGAACCTCTGGATGCCCCCCTCGGTAATTATTCCTGGTGCCCAAACGCCTGCGTTCCATTGCCTATGACCACAGACGAATTGTCCTCTATGACAATTTGTGCTCGTCGCATCGGCTCCTGCTCCCCGATTGTACAACTGGCCTCTACAATACCAGAATTCATCGATCAATTTGTTAGCATCACAGATGTACGCTATGATACCTGGGGGAGCTTGGAATCCAGGCGTCTAAGTCTCGTTCATGCGTGCCTGGCTTATACTCATTTTCACGCCAAGTTTACAAGATATTTAATCGACAAAGCAATAGAGAGATTGCAATCTCTCCATGAGATTGACATACGTCGCGCAAGCAACTCGTGGTGGCAGGAGCTCTGTGAGGTTGTTCCGTCGAATTCTGGGAAGATTGTTTTCGGAGTGGATGATCCGATAGTTGAAGGGTTCGGAATCAGCGGACCTAATGTGCAGCAAGGAGACGTGGCCGTGATGGCTTCCGGAGTGCCGGTGCCGCTTATACTTCGTCCTTATCGGGAAGACAACGAGATCTATTATCGCCTAGTGGATAGAGCCTACATTCCCTTGATGACTAGAATTGCTGCATTGAACCGCAGGTTTGACTATACTCGGTTCTTAGAACGTCCATCTCAGGTGTTTTCTCTACGATAGATCGTCTCACTATCACAGCTACATATACTATACGGGATGAACTTCGGGGCTATGTCAATATGATGTGATGTATCACCTGTCTTCTGGAGGCTAGCGATTTTCAATGTATTAACCCTGAAACCCAGATAGCGTGGCTGTATCTAGTCCCGCTGTGTCCAAAGCTCCTGCGAAGGGCTGAGCTTCAACACAGAGCGTGTATCATCGTCGGTTAGGATCTCACATTGCGCCTGTCTGGCGAGTGCTTATGCAAGCCCCACGACACGTCACTCATTTAGGAATTAATTTAGTCAAGTGACAACGAGTCATTAGCATCCCACATGGGCTGTATCCATACCACGAGAGCGAGATCATCCACCTCCTCTACCTGTGCGCCTACCTCCAACAACCCGGCCGCTCCATCTGAGACGTCACGGAAACAGGCATGACGGTCTTCTGGCCGTAATTCATCGAGGATTCCTATGACGGCTCTACATTCCCCGTCGTTCCTGTCCAGCTGTTCCTGGGCGATTGTGATAAGGCGCAGGTGTCTGAGTCACTGAAGCATCCTGTCGGGAGGCCGCTGAGTACGTTTCCACGCCGGTGACGGGGGGATGCGTGGAGGAGAGTCCCCGTTACGTATGTGACTACAACGAAGGATTATTCGGTCCCGAGGGGGTATCAGGAGTTCATGTTGGGGAGGGCGAAGGCGGAGGGGGTGGATGTTAGGGTTGTGGAGGTGGATACAACGTATAGTATGTTTTTGTCCGGGTTCTGGGGGAGGTTGTGGGGGATGAGAGTGATCCTTGAGAGGGGGGCAGGGCGGTCGTGCCGTTTGAGGTATAGGAGTAGTAGGGGCAGAGGGTCGTTGATGGTGACTGGGTAGGAAAATGAGTGAGATTTGTGGTATAATATATATAATGCCTTGTGGTGGTGGTTTTCTGTGATGGGGACAGAGAGTGGTAATTATATATTTCTTTGGGGGGTCGCTATTTTCGGCTCAATATATAGGTACTCAATACACCGTGCAGGCACTTTGACTTCGGAATACTCATACTATCGGTGATTTATGTCAGATTTCGACTATATGTTGAGCGAATATTAGGTACGAAGGTCTTGTGTCTTGAGCAGTACAGCCAGCACCACGCATAGTAGAAAACTACCAAGCTACTAATGAATTTTATTGGAGTAAAAGAGCACTTTCAGGAATGGTTCCTTTATTGGCACTTCGCCACTAGTGAATAAGGAATACAACCCGCATCAAGCGGTATCTACAGCTCTACTAACTCTGCATCTCATCCTCACTATCCTTGTCCTCAGGCATAGTAATCGGCAACCCCGAACCGGAAGAAATCCTCTTCCGCTCCATCTCCACCGCAATCTCATCCAGCTCATTCTCAATATCCAGGTGAATGCGCAGTCCCTTCTCAACAAGCACGTTATAAACATGCCTGAGTTCATCGAATCCCATACCGTCGCCCTTTCTACTCTCCTGCGGATACTGCTCCCGGATAATATCGGCCCGGAGATGAGTGAACGCAAGCATGATAAGCTCCTTCGACCAAGGGCAGGCGCGCATTCCGCGGTAAAAGACAGCCTTTGCTCGTTGGATGTCGTTACGAGACAGTTCGAAGAGAATGTAGAGTTTCCAGATGGTGATGCTGGAGTGGCCGGTGGAGGTATTAGAGCCTTGGTGGATGGCGTCACCAATGGCTTTCTCGAATGCCGCACGGACAGAGTGCATAGTTGATCCGGCGTAAGTAGGACGGTTTACTTCAGTGTATATAGAAAAGAGATGTGTCGTTATGGGAACTGGAGCGGCTGTGAGATTGTCTGTGTTGGTATTGATGCTGGTGATATCTCGTATTGTGTCGCGAACGCGCTCTTCAATGCGGAACCGGGATTCGTTCCAGGCAAAGAGGGATAGGAACATGGTGTTGTGGCGAGATACTGATATACTTTCGGATAAGAGAGAACGAATATGTGAGGGTTTGTAAATGCCACTTGTGCGGATGTGGTGATACAGGAGTCGGGCCCGGGATTGATGGAGGAGTTCGGTCGTGAAGTTTGCGAATGACTTGGACTGATCGGGTAGGGCAGCTAGCCTGGCGAATGCATTGTGATAGTATTCCAGGGACCTGCTTAGATCGAGGGAATTGGAGAGGTACGATAGGATAGCCAGGCAGTCTATGCATGACGTGAAGACGATAGGCTTCTCGTTCGCAAGACCAATTTCCTGTGCTTCTGAAAGGTACTAAATGGAAAGTCAGCATTGTGGAAGGGCCGGTAAATCTTTTAAACATACACTTTGTATCTTCAGCAAACTTGTCGGGCTGAAGGACGGGTGACTGGAAGCATCGGAAAGGATCTTCAGATCAATGCTATTCTGGGGCATCGAAAGGAGGAGATGAGATGCTTGGGCCGCATTTCCAGCGTCGAGAAGCTCCCAAATCCAGGTGCGCCACACAATCATACTATCCACCCTGTCGCGATCAGGGAAGGACTTGCTCATAGAGAGGGAAGTAGCCCATACATGATCGGCAGCTGCTTGATTGCCGAAGCGCTGCTCTATCAGAGCATAAGCATTGTAAAGTCGCAGGCTAGACGATCGCTTCTTGAGCAGCGATTTCGCGAATTTTCTCGCATCCTTGCTTTTACACGCAAGTTCAAGAGCAAGACCATATTCGGCTAGATCATCATCTTCAGGCTGCGCTTCTATCAATGATCGGACGACTCTGCGAACCCACACAGGGTCGATATCGGATTGTGAATTAGAAGTGGCGTCGCTCCAGGTTTTGAGGGCAGAAAACCATTTAGAAGGATCAGCAAACAAAGTATCCAGCGTAATTATATAGTTTTGATGAGGGAAAAGCATAGGGGATGCGACCGTGGGCTCTATGTCAGCGGCCACACCAGGGAGCCAGTCCGCAAGCGTTGCATAAAAATTGCTTGCAAATTCGTTCTGCACGAAGCCATCCCCGTTCCAGCGACTTGCCGTACCCCAATTGGCAACCGACGAAACGGGTGGAAGATGAGAATAATAGAAGAAGCTATCAATCAGCACTCCTACAGGCGTTGGCTGCCATGCCAGCGACAGAATCTCTTCGAGATCAGGTGCAATGATGACTCTGTAGGGGTCATCTTCCTCCGAATCATCAATACTGCGGGCTGGCAACCGAGCATTGACGATTCGTTCCCGTTCGGACGGTGCCCAGGAGGCAAACACGGCTTTTGGGTTCAGTTGAAATTGAAGCTTTTCGCTGGAATTCGCATTTCGCAGCACATTTCCCTCGTTCTTCCACCCTTTGGCGCCCGCTTCTCCGATGCGGGAGACCTCCGACTCCCAGTACTCCAAAAAGGCTGGTATTACCTCTTCTGGGCCTTTGCTTCTATCAAGCGAGCCGGGTCGGTAGAAAGTCAGCTCCAAAAGACCTTGCCAGAGAGCCGCGGCATGCTCTGTAAACCCAGCTTCCCGGATGAACAATGTCAACCTAAGGAACAGATAAAAGTGGATCTGGGTCTTCTCGGGTTTCTCGAAAGAAGACTTATTGAGTCTCAGACACTCCAGAAAGGTTGCAAGGCACTGCTCATACGTGAAGTCCAGAAATTCAGTTTGACGAAAGTCGAGATATCGGATCCAAAGGTTGATGTACTCGGAATTTGATTTCAGTATCGTCTGCCACTGAGCCGATAGCTTCTTAGTGTCCCAGAGTTTTGCCCCTTCTTCGAGAAGGCCGAGCAGGAGACGATCCTTTGCAGGGCTCGGTCCGACCTTTTTCAGTGCTTTCTCGTACAGTGATAGCTTGATGTCGGCAAGGCCCATCTTTTCTGCGTATGTCAAAGAGCCAAATTCCCTCTCCGGTCCTCGAAGGAGCGACTCTTGATGGTCGATAAGCGTTAGCCACGCGGAGACATCATCAGGGTGTTTCTCGACAATCTGCAGTAACTCCGCATTGCGCTCCTTGATCTCATGGTCGGGGTCACGCCGGCCGCCCTCTTTATCCGAATCCGTATCGGACACAGCTTCAACATCACTGGGCAAGTCATCCTCTGGCTTAGCTTTGCCATGAATCGACCGATACGCGTGTTTGTCATCATCCGAGTCGACTTCTAACAGATCCAGGTGCTTCCCATTCCTAGACACACTCAGGGAAATGTAGTCTCGTGACGTTTCTGCGGCTGCATCCACCAGCGATTCTGGCCGTATTCGAAGTAGTCGGGATCTACCCTTGTCTAGTCCTGCGAGCAGATTCTTCGCCTTCTTCTTTGACTTTCCCTCTTTCTTTTCGTTCGTGACGATCAACACGTCCTCGACAGCGCTTTCCCGATCGATCTTGTAGCTGGAAGGCAATCCCAAGACGTTGCCCCGACCGACGCGATAATATTGTGGAACGCTATATCGATGTAACGTTCCGTATATGAGGTTGTAGCGATCGCCCTTGCTATCTATAACATACAAATCCGAGGCTTCCTCGGGCGGGTGCTTCACAGTGCGGGTCGATGTGGATGCTCTTGAGTATTCGGGGGTGGGCTCTCGGCGGCGATGACTTGCTTCTTTTCGAGAGGACCGATGCTCCCTATGGCTCCTACGACGTTCGCGGGACCTAGAACGGTCATGATGGCTGCTATGTCTCGACCGATGCCTCGAGTGGTGGCTAGACTTCACATCGCGGTCGGAGGTGTCGCGACTGGGGCGCCCGGGCGGCCGATCAGCTTCGGACGGAGGTGCTGGCCGCGGCTTGAAGCTGGCGAAGCGGGGAATGGATTTCTTTTCCTAATGTGAAATTGAAATTAGCATGAGGCGATCGAATCAAGCGCAGTATTTGAGTCAAACATACCTGGGAGCCAGACGAATCCATGCTCCTGGAGAGGTGAGGCCTGCCTTTTTGAGGGGGAGCTTCAACCAAAGGCGGCGGCGATGGAAGGCTGGAAAAACTAGGTTCCCGCTTCCCGCATTTTTTTCCGGTTTGGTTCCAACGGCCTCAAAAAAAAGTTGCTCCGAGCCATTCGAGATCTCCACGCTGCTCGGGGAATTACTGCCCGCCAACGCTTGGGGTCTTGACAAAGTTTTTCGGTGTTGATATTTGAGGGATGGATGTGATTTGCAGTTATCGATAAACAAATTTTATCCATCGTCAACATGGCCTCGTCCCTCGCCGCGCAGCTGTCGCAGATTGCGGCAAAGTCGACAAATCAGTTGAACCTCAAAGCACAGCGCATTGCGCACTCGCAGTCTCTTATCTTTGACTGGAAGACCGCCACTACACAGGATTTCGATACCGTCTACCAAATATGCTTCGAAGGTTTCCAGGAGTTATGTCAGCTCGATCCTCGTTTCGCGTCGTTCGAGCGCACCATCTTCAGCGAACAGAGCAAGGCGGAGGACCGAACAGAGATGAACGCTGCTCAGAATAAGGAGCTGGACACTGTTCTGGAGGCTTTCCTTGCACTTGTTGGCGGTCACTTGCTGCTGAGCCCGGCCGTGAAAGCCGTTGACTGGCTTATCCGGCGTTTTCGGTATGTGTGGCATGGGGACTCGATCTTCATTCAACGCGCTAACAGGCTTATAGGGTGCATGAGTATAACACAGAATTCACAATCCTCACTTTCCTCCCTTACTATACCACCCCACTCTTCCTCAACCTCCTTTCGATCCTGCCCGAAGACCTGACGCCGACCTTCAAAATCCTCAACCCGTATAAGAAGAGCCAAATCAACCCTCCACGCCATCCTCTCGTGCACAGCGCTACTACCAACAAACACTTCCTCGCCGCTGTCAACAGATACACCCTCCAAGTCAGCAAACAGCGGGCGCATCATCATGCGCTTTTGTCGTTTTGGGCGGGAACTTTGACCGAGGCGGTTGCGGGGATGTTGGACTCGGCTCGGTCTGGCCGACGGGAACTCGAGAAGGAAAAGCATGAGGATGTTATCATGAAGGTTCTGCCGGTCCTCAACGACGGTCTGGCTCTGAAGGACGTTTCCGAGCTGGTGATTGGCTGCTACATGGTTTGCGTGGTTCTTGCACAGAAATCTTCTCTCCAAGACAAGCTTCTCGATGGACT